TTCAAAAAGCATGAGCATGGAATTTGAAACGAGTATGATGGGAGAACTTAAGTTCTTACTTGGACTTCAAATTAAACAAACATGTGATGGAATATTCATAAGTCAAAACAAGTACATATTAGACATGCTAAAGAAGTTTAAAATGGAAGACCTAAAGCCTATGAACACGCTGATGAGCACATCGGTAAAGGTTGACAAAGATGATCAAGGCACCCCGTTGATGTCACTAAATATCGAGGTATGATCGGATTCATTCTTTATTTAACTGCTAGTAGACCGGATATTATGCTTAGTGTATGTTTATGTGCTAGATTTCAATCTAATCCTAAGGAATCCCATCTTAAAGTCGTAAAAAAGAATATTTAGATATCTTAGTGAGACTCAAACCTTAGAACTTTGGTATCCTAAAAGAACTCACATTGACCTACTTAATTATTCGGATACCGATTGGGTCGGATGTCAAATTGATCGAAAAAGCACTAGCGGGGCATATAACTTTCCAGGTTTCCACTTGTATCATAGTTTAGTAAGAAACAAAACTGAAGCCGAATATATCTCAACCGCAAGTTGTTGTGCACAAGTGTTATGGATAAAACAAACTCTTAATAATTATCACTTATCTTATGATCATATTCCTATTATGTGCGATAACACTAGTGCCATCATCTTGTCCAAAAATCCCATTTTGCACTCTCGAACTAAGCATATTGAAATTAGACATTTTCTTAGATATCATGTTCAAAAGGGCGACTCAAGCTGGAAGTATATGATGGCATTACCGGTGACATTTTCTTAGTGAAATATTTTCTTGGAAGAGGTTTAGGCATTACCGATGAATTTGAAGTATATGATTAAAATAACATGCCTTTACATGTTAATTCATGTACATCGTATTAAAATGTTATATCATTTAAAAACAAAAGTCGGACGAAGTCCGATAGATCGGATATGGTCGACCAGAAAAATAGTTTTGAAAATAGGGGGCGTCCGGTCGACTGGACCAGCCCGACTGTCGACTGGACTGTCGGTTTTTAACCCCTCTCGTATCCTTTTTTTCTTATTTTTTTTTCACTCTTCTCTCTTACTTTTCCTCTTCTCCTCCATAGACCCACCTTCAGTCTCACCAAATCTTCAATTAATCATCTAGATCTCCTTAAGATTTCAAAAACCCATCACTTCTTCTTCTCCAAAATCTTAAAATCCCCAATTTTCTTTCGCTACAATTTTATTTTTCTCACTATTTCGGTCGACCGCCTCTTTAGCGAAATTCTTTCGTTCTTCATCATGCCACGAGTCAAAATTTCGAGTAAGAAACTATGGAGGGAAAGGATGCCAATTTCTTTTTCATCGGAGGACAAGCCCGAGATACCGAAAAACGACTTTGATAAATCACCTATCCTTATAGGTAAAACTATAGATTTTGCAACTTTTACTCTTCAAGCACCTGAATTTCATATTGAAGAATTTTTCTTAGGTATTGGTTTGGACTCTATTGTATTTATGGAAGAATACGCATATCCTAAGCTCATGAGAGATTTTTTACAAAAACATGGTATATACTCCTCGTACGGGTAGTATTTCTTATTTTCTAAAAGGAAAACGTTTTACAATAACTAAAACTCGTATACTTTCTCTTCTTGAGTTAGAAGAATGTGCGAACCAAGTATTTTTTTCATATAGATCACCCATAGAGTGACAGTTACAAATTACAATCCTATCATTGCATGTCAGAGAGTGATCGAAAAAGACTTTGAACATCCGATAAAACTCAGTTCAAACCAACTTACATATTATCATTGCCCACATTATCCTCCCTAGGAAAGGTCATCTTGATGAAGTTACTCACTTCGATCTATTCCTTCTTGATTCCTTCTTAGTCAGACGAAAATTGGATTTTTCAACAATTGCCATTGGTCACATGAAAATCGTCCACTCCGCTACTCGCATCAAGGCTTTACACTACGACATGCTCCTCACTAAGATTTTTAAACATTTTGAAATTCCTCTAAATGGTGAAGTCTTCGACTCACTCCGGACCACGGACACTATCAATATTCACACTCTTAAGTGCATGAAAATTGTCAATGAACATTGGCTATAGGTGTCCCGTACTAAGGGATTTGTTCCGGACTTTGGACCTTTAACTTTACCTCTCGAAAGAGCTGAAGACGAAGTTGGATATGATTGTGAGGACGACGTACCACAGGTTCCTAGTCTTCCTCACGACATCCAGGGAACGAGTGCTCCACCACCTTCCGAAAGCTATACTTTTACTGAGGATCACTACAATCTCCTCAACGATCGCATCGATTCCCTCACATCCTCTATCGACGGGCTTGGCGGGATACTTAACTGTTAGCAAGTTCAAAAAGTTGCCATACAAACTCAATAAGCGGCGATGCAGGCCTAGTAAGAAGCCTTCTATACTTACTACACCGCTCAACAAGAGGTAATGCGGGCTCAACAAAATGCATTTTATGCTTGGTTCGATGCAATCTTTCCACCCCTGCCTCCTCCAGATTCTTAGATACATTTTATGCATATGTACTTTATGACTTAATGTTGATCTGTCTTCTTTGTGTTGTTACTTTTCATTAGCTTATGTTCTAAACTATCTATGCAGCATCCTATGTTGTGTTCTAATCTTAAATGCTATATTTTTTTTGCTTATGACAAAATGGGGAAAATATGATATGATGATATGCTTGATGATGATGATATGCTTGAGATAATAATCGAAAATGTTTGCCTTCATAAATATATATGTTTTAACTCGTTTGATTATTGGTTTGTAAAAGATAGGAGGAATATATGGATCACATGCAAAATTTAGGATTTATATTCCTTATCATTTGTTTAATATTATCTTGCAAATCATCTTATTTGTCATAATCAAAAATGGGGAAATTGTTGACCTATGGTTAATTTGAAACCTCGAAATTTTGATTATAACAAACAAGTTGGTCTTATTTACTAACGAGTTGAATTCAAGTAATTATAGACTTTAAATGTGTACAAAGGAAAATTAATTAATGATCGTCAAAATATCAAAAGCTATCATCACAAATCGGACTCTTGAAGAAACTCAAGATCGAAGGTACATTCAAGAAATTAAGAGCCAAACTTCGGAACAAGATCAAATACTTGTTTTCTTAGCTAAGATATGATGGGTATTAACACCTTGATATATGATATGAATGACAATAGCTCAAAATCGTTCCATGCATTAAAAACAACTTGGTGCATAAAAAAGATATTCGAATACGATGATTTGATCAAGTGAAAAATGACTTTTAAAAATAACTTTTGGACTTGTAAAATATTTTTTTATCTTGAAAAGTTAGTGAAAAATGCTCTCAGAAAGACCATACATTTCAAAACCCTCAAAGTAGAACAAACGACGTCAAAACGAGGATCGCAAAACTGCTGGGACGGTCGACCGGTCAGCGTGATGGTCGATCGAACTTCTTCAACGGTCCAAAATTTGACTGTTCTGCCTTCTGATTTTTCCTGTTCAAATGGTTATATTGATCATCCGGAAATTGGCGATCGATCGAAATGGTCATCCGATTTGACAGAAAATTAGACGTTTTTCACTTCTATAAATATCAACTCACTTGTCATTTATTACAACAATTTTAGAACATTCAATTGAGATTTTTTTGAGCTAAAATTACATTGATTTTTCATCTTATTTATTATTATCAAATCATTTTATTTTGAAAAATATTTGATTGATCTCAACTTTGAAAA